GGAGGAGATTGTGTCCCAGGCAGGTCAAGAGCCATAACCGAAGCAGTGAGAAGGCAGGTCCTGCTTCACCACCGGAGCTCTGCTGGCGCACACTGACTCTGGGAAACGACTGCTGACGGGATGCCTGGGACATTTTTGACTATTTGCAGCAGCATCTTCTTCTCCCGCAGGGAGAGTGTCCAAACTTAACTCACCTTCAGCAAGATGATTAAAAGTTTTGATGGGAGAGGGGGGACTAGAAAAGGAAGATTTTTGAAGAACGCCACGTAAATCCACCCATCTGGCCCTAAAGGAAAGAGCCAGTATCTATCTGATGATGCCCCACTTTGTGCAGCATATAAACGGGATGATTTGGTATTTTTTTTCATATTTAAAAAAAGTACACAGAAGGTGCACATGGATGTAAGGGTTTGTAGCTGGGAGTTTATTCCAGCAAATCTGCTGGCACAGCTCCTAGAAGTCAGGCAGGAACTGGCAGCAGGGCCCATCTAATCTCTCCATATAGGCAGCCAGCTCAGGGCCTGGGGAGCCCAGCCCCTCTTAACGCATTAAGGTCACTCACTCAGAGCAAAGCCCGACTCCTCCAGGACAAGGGGCCACTCCAGCACAGGTCCCAGCGGGGCAGGGAAAGGCAGCAGCAGCTCCTGGTGAGTGCTTGGCCACCAAAGACTGCCAAAAACACATGCTTATGAGGGAGGGTGTGTGGGAAAGGCTGCACGCTCGACCCTGCCGGGGTCTGACCGATTCCCTCAGCAGCTCCCCTGGCACTGGCAAGCTCTGCAAACATGGCAGGAAAGCCTCGCCATGGGCTTCATTAAGGCAAATCTTTGGCACACGATCCAGTGTGATTCCACTTAACAAATCTCAAGTCCAGCCAAGCCTTGACAGATGTCAAGGCAAGATAGATGGTGCCTTCCCACGTAGGCTTCCTTGGCTTGACTCCTTAGAGCTACCAAGCTATTCAGCTGCTATAAAAATTGGAAAGGTCTTTTCCCGAAAGCCTTCCACAAGTGCAGTCCAGCACCACATGGCATCATGGGGTCAGCACCTCCAGTTCAAAGCCCCCCTAGTTTAAAAGGTGCAAATAAGGCAGCTGCATTACAGGTGTCCCACAAGCTGTGCACAGAGGTAAAGTGGGATCCATACAGAGGAGCTGCTGACCCTGAGGGTGCGCACCCATGCCAAACCTTTAAACCAGTTGGCGAGCCAGTGGTCAGGATTAAACCCAGAATCTGGAGCAGATGTCTCCCAACAGGCTCTCCTCCTCCTGGGAGAGACCAGCTTTGTTCGATAGGACAATAACAACAGTGATGCCTTCCCAATTCACTGCAGAGCCCAACACCTGGGAAGGTTCAGCACCTGCCTTAGGTACTGGCCCACCAGAGCAGCTGCGGGGGGTTGGCCCCAGGGAGGAAAGGCACCATCAGCTGCTCCCAGGCTCTGTTACTGGCGGAAGTCTGCAGTCTCCCCTCCGCAAGCCCTTCCATGACAAAGACGATCGGTTTGAAGCAGGGAAGGGCAGCTTCAGCACAGGAAAAGCCTTTCACTCCTGTTACACTGCTTTGCTAAACCTCCCCTTTGATCCCTGGGGAAAGGGACAACTTGGCAGCTGGAAGACTATTGTGTGCCTCTTGCTATAAGTAGCTGCTTAGAGGATTGGCTGAGAGCTGAAGTGAGTTTTTTAACTACGCAGTCAACAGAGCTGTGAAGGGAGACTTTGTCACTGCCTACAACTCCCTGAAAGGAGGGTGTAGCGAGGCGGGTGTGTGTCTTTTCTCCCAGGTAACTAGTGACAGGACAAGAGGGAATGGCCTCAAGTTGTGCCAAGGGAGGTTCAGCTTGGATGTCAGGAAGAATTTCTTCACTGAAAGAGTTCTCAGACACTGGAACGGGCTGCCTAGGGAGGTGGTTGAGTCCCCATCCCTGGAGATATTAAAAAGACGGGTAGATGGGGTGCTCAGAGATATGGTTTAGTAGTGGACAAGTATGGTTGGACTTGATGATCTCAAAAGGTATTTTCCAACCAGGTGATTCTATGATTCTATTCTAACGGGCAGGTAGGTCCAGTTTGTCACTGCTGGGAAAACGGCTTCAAGTAAGAAGGGAATGAAAAACCCATTTCCACATACTAAAAGTGAACAGTGTGAGCTTTTGTCATAGGTAGAATACCACAAACATCATGGACTGGAGACAGATCCCGTCTCACCTATGGTAACCTTACAATTTTTTGCTCTACAGATTGCTGTTGCCCACATCTGTGCTATCCCCTAAACAGTGAGGCTGCCAATCAAAGTCAAATTCAGAGGCAAATCCTAACATCTGGGTTCCTAAAGAAATTCCTCAGCACTGTCTGAAGCACTAACATGTCCATCAAAGGAGGAAGAAGCCAGGAGCAGACTTAGAGAGTAAAACGTTTAATAACTTTCCAAGAGTAGTATTACATCCATATTTAGAGCATATATAAAACAAGAGATGGAAAACAAGGAAAGAAAAAAGAAAATTGGTACCTTCAAAAGGGCACACTTAACCCCATA